GCCTCCTGAGTAGCTAGGATTACAGGCACATGCCACCATGCCCAGCTAATTTTTGTATTTTTGTAGAGACAGGGTTTCACCATGTTGGTCAGGCTGGCCCCCAGCTCCTGACCTAGTGATGTGCCTGCCTCAGCCTCCCAAAGTGCTTGGATTACAGGTGTGAGCCCCTGTGCCCGGCATGCCTGGCTAAATTTTTTTTTTTTGAGACAGAGTTTCACTCTTATTGCCCAGGCTTGAGTGCAGTGGCACAATCTCGGCTCACCACAACCTGCTGCCTGGTTTCAAGCAATTCTCCTGCCTCAGCCTCCAGAGTAACTGGGATTACAGGCATGTGCCACCACACTTGGCTAATTTTTTGTATTTTTACTAGAGACAGGGTTTCTCCGTGTTGGTCAGGCCAGTCTCCAACTCCCGACCTCAAGTGATCCACCCGCTTTGGCATCCCAAAATGCTGGGATAACAGGTGTGAGCCGCCATGCCTTGCCCTGCGTGGCTAATTTTAAAATTTTTTGTAAAGATGGGCTCTTGCTGTGTTGCCCAGGCTGGGCTCAAGCAATCTTCCCATCTGTGTCTCCCAAAGTGTTGAGATTACAGGCAGGAGCCACTGTGCCTGGCCTGGTCAGTTTACTTTTGACAAAGCTATGAAGACAATTCAGTAGAGAACAGAGACAAAGAACTCTTCAAAATTCATCAATAAAAAAATATAATTTGTTTTAAGAAGTGGGCAAAATTTTGAACAGATACTTTACCAAAGAAAATATGTAGACTGGGCGCGGTGGCTCATGCCTGTAATCCTAGCACTTTGGGAGGTTGAGGCAGGCGGATCACTTGATGCCAGGAGTTGGAGACCAGCCTGGCCAACATGGTAAAACCCTGTCTCTACTAAAAATACAAAAATTAGCTAGTTGTGGTGGCTCATGCCTGTAATCCCAACTGCTTGGGAGGCTGAGGCATGAGGATAGCTTGAACTCGGGAGGCAGAGGTTGCAGTGAGCTGAGATTGTACCACTGCACTTCAGCCTAAGCAACAGAGCAAGACTGTCTCAAAAAGTATATATATATGTAGAGGCAGATGAGCATCTTTTCATGTGTTTTAACATAATAGTCATAAAGGAAATGCAGATTAAAACAACAGTGGGATACTACACACCTTTTAGAATGACTTAAACAAATAGTGACAATGCCAAGTGCTGGCAAATATGTGAAGTAACGAACTCTCATGCACTGCTGATAAGAAGGGAAAATGGAGCAGCCACTTTAGAATGGGGTTTGGTAAAGTTAAACATACATTTAACCTATGATCCAGCATTTCCATTCCTAGGTATTTGTCCAAGAGAAATGTAATCCTTTTCTGTTACACAACAACTCATACATAATGTTTATAGTAGCTAAAAACTGGAAGCAACCCAAAGGTCCTTTTGGCGAATCGTTAAACAAACTGAGGTCTATATAATAAAATAATACGTAATAATAACAAACATATAGGCTAGGCACTGTGGCTCATCCCTATAATCCCCAGCACTTTGGGAGACCAAGGTGGGAGGATCGCTTTGAGCCTGGGAGTTGGATACTAGCCTGGGCAACATAGTAAGGCCTCATCTCTGTAAATAATAATAATAATGTAAATAAATAAAATTAAAACATATGGAGTCTCAAAAGCATGCTTTGAGCTTAGTGCTGAGGGAAAGAAGCGGAACTCAAAATGCTACACATTTTATGATCCCATTTATATGATGTTCTGGAAAAGCAAAATTGTGGGAACACAATATAGTGTGTTTACTGGTGGCCAAGAGTTGGGTAGGGGGAGGGGGTGACTATAGTCGAGCATAAGGAAATGTTTTGGGGTGATGGAACTTTCTGTGTCTTAATTATGGTGATGATTACATAATTATATGCATTTGTGAAAACTCACATAATTATATACCAAAAAGTAATGTTTTTATATGTAGATTTTTGACAAGTCAATAGAAAATAATAAAACGTGTGATTCTTGTTTTCTTTAAGATGCCTTGGCTTTGCTTTGGGAGAGGATTCCAGAAGCCCTCACTTTGCTTTGGTTGAGGCCCTCAGAGGGTTGACTGCCTTGAGTTCTCTGTGTCTTTAGCACTGGAAAGTCTCACCATGGTGGTAGTGGCAAGTCTTTTTCCTTCTTCTTTTTTTTTTTTTTTTTTTTTTTGAGACGGAGTCTCCCTCTGTCACCCAGGCTGGAGTGCAATGATGTGATCTCAGCTCACTGCAACTTCCGCCTCCTGGGCTCAAGCGATTCTCCTGCCTCAGCCTCTGGAGTAGCTGGGACTACAGGCGCGTGCCACCACGCCTGGCTAATTTTTGTATTTTTAGTACAGATGGGGTTTCACCGTATTGGCCAGGCTGGTCTCAAACTCCTGACCTCATGATCTGCCTGCTTTGGCCTCCCAAAGTGCTGGGATTACAGGCAGCAGCCACTGGGCTTGGTTGTCTTGCTGTCTTTTTCTCTCTTAACAGAACAGAACATGGGAGTGGGAGGTTGTAAAATGTATTTTTTTTTTTTTTTTGAGACAGAATCTTGCTCTGTTGCCCAGGCTTGGCTCATTGCAACCTCTGCTTCCTGGGATCAAGTGATTCTGCCTCAGCTCCCAAGTAGCTGGAATTACAAGTGTGCGCCACCACTCC